ATGTCAGCGGAGACCCTTAGGGCTACCGCGGTAGCCATAACTGAAACTTGGCTATCAGAGAGTGATCCCAACCCTACCCACTGAACGGATAGGGGTAGTTCCGTACAAGGAGGAGGAGGAGCCCTGCTACTATTACCCCAGTTTTGAGCAGTAGTATCGAATACTAAGGTTTCCACTCTGAATGTGCGGCTAGTTGTGGCAGATCTTATTATAAATAACAGAAAAATATCCATTTCTTGCGTATATAGGAGTCACAGTGCCACACAACCGGCGGATCAAGAAACTATACGGGCACTAGACAACCTAGCTCGAAATTCTACCAGACTGGTCGTTACAGGTGACTCCAATCTTAGGTATGTTGACTGGGAGCTTTGGACGTGTCCGCGAGGTTCAGGCTATATCACTCCCGGGCCCTTTATCAGCATCTGAAGTAGAACAATAGGTATCGGGAAGACCAGCAGCCTTCGCTGCTGGACCTGATCATCACAGCGAAAGAGGTAGAGGGCAAAGCCTAGAATATCTCCCTCCTGTCGGTAAAAGTGATCATCTTCTCACCAATATGATATTTCAGTTGAAATTACCCAGACACCGCGAAAGGATGGGTGGGAAATTTGGGAGGATGGATGTGAATCTACCCCGAGCTAAGGTGGCTCAGCTGCGTTGGTATAGTTTAGAGCAACACACTGACGTGAAGAAACGCTGGAATGTAATAAAAACCCACCTGGTGAACCTCCAAGATGAGTTTTCTCTCTTGACCCACAGAAGTTCAAGGAAGAAACCGTCATGGTGGCACGCTGTTGTAGATAGGGCGATTAAATGCATAAATTGAAGCTGGAAAGCTTTTCGAGCTTTGGGTTTCCAAATGGCTTGGAGACAGTACACGAGGCATCGTAACAAAATAGTCCCGCTCATTAGAAAGGACAAAAGGGACTATGAGGTAAAACTACCCAGCCGAGCCAAGAAGGAACCAAAAAGCTACAACAGCTACGCTCAAGCCAAGGGCCCCAATAAATGGATAATGGAACCTCTGAAGTTGGAAGGTAGGACCTTCATCCACGACCAGGAAAAGATAGACGCCTTCTGTACATACTTCAGTAGCGTGCACAGAGTAGATCGAGGTGACTTGGCAGTACTGGATCTTGCTTCCCCAGAAGAGGCAATAGAGCATACTTAGGTGTCATTAGAAGCAGCTCGTCGAATACTAGCTGAGCTGAACTTTAATAAATCTCCAGGGCCTAATGGGATCTACCCGGCAACCGTAAAGCCGATTACGGGTATGAAAGCGGGACCACTGAGGAATTTATACGAACCAGCCTGGATCAGGGCAAGCTACTGAGGGACTGAAAACGCTGTAGTTGTTGCGATTCACAAGGGAGGAGCACAATCGCAGATTGAGAACTACAGGTCGACGAGCCTAAAGAGTATATTGTGCAAGTTTCTAGAAAGGATGGTGAGGAAGCACATTGAACAGCGCTTACTCCGAAACTCGCTGCTTACTGATCAACAGTAAGAGTTTGGCTTATCTAACTTACTGTGGTTTTTAGATGGGGTAAGCTCACGGTTAGATGAGGGTAAAGCTGTGAAAGTCTGTTATTTAGACTTCGGCAAAGCTTTTCATTCTGTCAAACACAGGTTGCTACTAGATAAGCTCAAACACAAGAGACAAGAGAACACATAACTAGATATATATCCCGGAAGTTTCAATCTGGAAACTTGAGGCAAACTAAGACCAAATCCCTGATCAGGGCATTTATACCCATAAACTAAATCTCAGATTAAACACTTATTTCTTCTACCCGCTAACCACCTTGGCAAACATCACTCATCGAGAAACCATACCATGCCAAACGCGTAAAACACACCTCAAACAAGCATTCCATGAAGGTAGAGCACTTGCTTCAATGCAGAATAGCAATTACACAAACCTTCGTTTCTAATCTCACATTGACTTTTTCATTAGTTTCATCAGTTTCATGCAAGGCAACCCAAACCACGATTTTCGAAAACCGATAATATATCTTTATCCTGTTCACGGAAAGATCTATTCTCTGCATGATATAGTAGCACCGACATGAAATTTGTGATATACACTCAACCCGTCACGGACAACCAAATGTGGCGGCGGCGACTCCAGAAATATCTCATTTTGACAAGCGTTAACTGAGCCTGTTGTATGCTTGCCGAAACTCCATCTGGCATTGGTCCACCAAACCAAATGTAACCGACGGAATAGAAAAAGTGGTCTGCTTTCTATTACCTATCCAGTCAGAATGAAGCTGGGAGCTGGAATTACCGTGTCCTGCAACTACACTTTATATGTTGAATTTGTAAACTGCATGCCAATAAAAAGCATACCCAACATGGCTTGCCACCTGGGTGCATATCGTTGCTATTTTCATCACAGGAGAACGGAGTTGTTTCCATAATCATATCCGTTACAAAGATAAATGGAAGACTGATATATATATATATATATATATATATATATATATCACCTAGTATTTGACCTATTTCTACATCCTTCGAATCACACTCTTCT